GCTACTTGAAGAGCTTTGAGGCAGCTCAATGATGCGCTACAGCAACAACAATTGCATTTTTGTAGCGCCCCTTCATGCAGGATAGCGTCCCAGAGCGCTTGACAGTGGCAGAGCACGACGCTGAGCCAGGGGGAGGAGAGAAGTGACCGTAGCCACGGTCAAAGCGGAAGGTCTTCAGGTGCTATATCTTTTCGAGGGCACTATAGCAATTGCAAGGATTATTTTTAATGCAGGGCTTCTGCCCCCCACCGCCCGACACACACACACACACACACATACACACACACGTGTTGCACTTGTACCGGAGCATCAACTTGAACTGTGAGCTCAAAGTCCTTGTGTGGAGTTTCAAACCACAAGAGTTTGACCCAGAGGCGAGAATGCTAACAATTCGACGGATCTGACAACTTAACCTTAACCCAGTGCATTATGCTGACTGCTCTTGTATAAGGGTGAGTTGTCGCAAGTGCAAGGTCAGATTTCGTGTAGGGAAAGAAGCGGATGTGAATTTCCTTCTAAGCAGCAAATGTTTTCAACACTAATAGTCTGGCCGGCTCCCATCTTCACCCTGTTATTTCTAGTTTGTTGGCGTTCGTCAAGCACAGGGTAAGTTCCGAGCTGGTATAAACGGCTCAACAGATTCCTGTGTCGCTGTGTTTACACCGAGTCTCATTCAGTAAACAAATCCATATCAGCAGTTCCCATTTAAAACAAATCCAAATCTGGTCGGGCTGTTTCGTTTCAAGTCTGTCCCATGTTAATGCTCTTTGAGGATTGCAACAGAACGGATTACAGAGCTGGGATGCTGTGCACAGCTGTGTGGTTTAGACAATAACACATCGGTCGTGCTACTTAAACCAGCTGAAATCGTGTGTGTACTGGAGTAGAGAGTTGGCAAGCTGCGTCTGTCACACCTGCCGCAGATGTCAACCCACAACCGACACAGTCACTACACTTTGCACTGAATCCTGTGAAGCGCAATGAAAGACGCCAAGTCACGCCTGCCGTTTCCCTCAGGGCAATCAAATCCAATTGCCCTCTGCCTCACTCTCACCCTTGTCTCCTGCACAGAAGACCAGTCTCCAAGGGATGGGTTGCTTTCCCAATCAATCAATCAATCAATCAATCAATCAATCAATCAATCAGTCAGTCAGTCAATCAGTCAATCGATTGACCGATTGACTGATTGACTGATCAATCTATTGATGATAATAATAAACCTTGAATTTGATCTAGCATCTTATCACGTCTTCGAGACGTCTCAAAACGCTTCGCAGGATATACTTTAAGTGGATTGAATGTGTATTTTGTGGGCGAAATGCGGCTGCCAATTAGGCGCAGCAGTGTCCGTCCCAGAAACAGCCATGATTAACTTTATTTGGGGGAGAGAGAAAAACTACTTTCTCTTTTTGATTAGCGCCATGGGATCTTTAAGATCCACCTGAACAGGCAGACAGGACCTCAGTTTAACGTCTCATCCGAAGGACGGCACTTCTGACAATGCAACCCCCACCCCCCCAGCACTGCATTGGAGCGTCATCTTAGACGATGTGAGTCCAAGTCCCGATGTGGGGGTTTGAACCCACAACCTTCTGACTAAGAGACGACAGAGAGAGAGAGAGAGAGAGAGTCCTATCACTGCGCCAGGCTGGCACATAATTGCAGTGCTCTAAGGGATGTCTGCCATGATGGAGGGCTGACTGTAGTGCTTGCGATGTAACAGCTAATCTCGAGGCTGGAAGGTAGATCGCCTGTAATGTTACTCCAAAAAAAAACCTGGTGTGATCTAATTCCTCTGCTGCTTGCCACATCTTTGTGGCATTTGGCATTTTGCATGCGATTGAATTTATACGTTGCTGCAAAATTTATGAGGATATTTATAACCGTGTATTGCACAGGCAGAAAACGATCACCTATTTTCCATTGATAGCAGCACACAATTCATCATCCTCCTACACGGCGATATTAACTCTCGGAATCTTAAATGAGCTGAGCGCACGTCGTTGCATTAGTTTGCGGAATAAACTATTTGCAAAATTAAACAGCTTAAATTGTCACTTAGGCCAATATTGTCAGCGAGTGAATGATACCAACTGCACAACTGCACATTGCTGGGACATCATCATCATAATAATAATAATAATAATAATCCTTGCATTTGATATAGCGCCTTATCACGTCGTCAAAGCGTTTCACAGAATATACTGCTAAGTGGATTGACTGCGTATTTTGTGGGCGAAAATCAATTGGTAACGGGAGATTATTCCACCGCTGAAAGCCACCACTCTGCTACTGCTCTGGAAGCTGGTACCTTGTCTCTATTTACTCTGACAAACACCCCTCGAGTCCATTCTTGTGCCTGCAAAGTCGAGACGTCTCAAACCGCTTCACAGGGAGTTGTCGGCAAGTGATCGTGACTGTGATTTTGTGGGCATTGCAGTGGCCAATTTGCACATAGCAACGTCCCCACAAACAGCCAGTAACGATTATTCTTACCCGGAGGATTGTTGGCCGGGACACCTGAGATTTGAATCACGTTGCTGGATCTTTGACGTCCACCCGAATAGAGCGCAGACCTGACGGGGAGCTCAGTTTAATGGCCCATCTCATCCGAAGGACGGCGCCTCCGACAACACTGGGTTCCCCCCAGCACTGTGCTGATGGTCAGTCTGGACTGCGAGCTCAAAGTCCCTGACGTATGTGTGTGTGTGTGTGTGTGTGTGCGTGTGACTCAGAGGTGAGAGAGCGCCACTGACTGAACAAGTTATCCTTTATCGCATTTGAGGACGATTTAATGCAATTTTAAAGCACAATTTCATATCTGATTCCAGACTATTTATCCAGTTAAATAGATAACAATGAAAGGAATTCTAGGTCAGTAGCTTTGCTGGATCTTTCTTGCAAGGCTGATTGCCAGCTTAGCCTGATCTGCTTTGATCTGTGCTTGTAGCTCGCAAAACACAAATCTCAGGGACGAGCGGGCAAGTTTAGAACAATAATTTGTAATAAATCCGTACAATGGGATAATAAGTGTTTATCAAATACCAGGGCCCGTTACTCCACACGCTTCTGTTCATCTAGCGGAGAGGAGGAACACGGTTGTTAGTCAATTGGCGGATCTCTTTTCGGGGCGCTGGGGTGGGGGTGGGGTAATAATAATCACTTTTAAATAAAATGTGGTCACTCAATCCATGACTGTTTGTGAGATGTTGCTGTGCCTCATTTCGCTCGCACCG